CACTAGATAGGATTTGGTTCCATTCCGGTTGTGTCCGTTATTTGAGCGACGTCTTGAGTCTCGAAGATGAGTTAATTTATCTCGGAGTTCGTGGTACTTCCCATAAAATTTATTGCCAGTATGCTTCGACGAACTGGAAGGGATCTGTTTATTTCTTTGATTCAGAGATATAGGACATTTATTTGCCCAATGCCCTTTTTTACCACATGTGTAGCAATTACCGTCGATGTTGGCAAAAGATTCTTCTTCGCATTCTGACATTTTGAACGCTGGGGCTTCAAGAGACGGTAAGTCCACATGTTCTATACTATCGAAGATCTTTGGTTTATTGCTTAATGGCATCTTATCTTCTATGGGCCATTTCATTATCTGCGAAGGAATCTGTACAACCATCTCTATAATTTCTTGATTTGTCGAGGAATTTGTATGAGAAAAAGCTAAGGTCCATATTCGGGGCAGGTTATTTTGAACTAACTCCTTTAATAGGTCCCTAGTGGAATCGGAAACACGATCAGTTCCGGACAAGTTGTAGTATGCGTCACGTAAACGCCACGCAAAAGCGTGTGGTGATTCGTCCTTTTTTGGGGTCAAAAGCGAAAACGTGGTTAGAGGACTATGGAGGAAATTTAATCTCTGCATTGTCGTGAAAATGGCTTCCAATAGAAGTATCCATGTAGGGCGCTTGCCTGTAGCCCAGGCTCGCACTCCATGAAAATTGCCACTCATCTCTATTGTGACTCTTTGAGGTCATAAATGATATGGGATAAGTGCCATTTGTAAAGCATTTTGGATGCTTGACAATTTGCGAAATACTTCTGAATCTGCAATAACGAGTCGCCATTCAGGTCTTAGGATAACCTTGTTTTTGACACTTGTAAAAGCCTCGTCCTGCACATCGACCGGAAATATCGCCTCTGGCCAAGCTTTCTTAACAAATATCTCCTCAGGAGTGAGATAAATGTTGCTTTCAACATCTTCTGACAAATCAATCCTCCCAAATTCTGTTCTTTTCACCCCCGATTTTTTGATGAGTTCGGGGGTTGAAACGGGAGAATTTTCTTCATTCTTCCCCTCTTCTTTCTCTATTCTCTTGCCCTTAGTATAAGACTCCATCTTATTTTGAACTTGAGAGTTCAACGTGCTTTGTATCTGAAGGAGAATTCTTTCCATGTTGGAGTTTGCATCCTCCATTCTGTCCAACCGCGTCTCTATTTTATCGATTCGGCTATCCGTGTTCATGTGGCCGAGATCAATCGCTTTTTCTAAACTCTTAAAACGAGATTCAGTTTCGGCGAAACTTTCTTTCATTTTCTTGTTGAGCGAGAAAATATTAGGATGGTTAACCGACGAAGATGACTGTGGTGGGTTGGAATCAGACATTTTTCTAAAATCTAGTGAGAGTTTTTCTCTTCAAAAATAATTATTTTTGAGGTTTTAAGTTCCTAGGATGCTAGATTGATAAAATGTGAATATACGGAAATCGTAGGTCACGATGTCTCGGGATTTCTACTATTTCTTCTATATAGTGAAATCTTAAGACGGTGTGTGACTCCCCCTCTAAATTTACAGGATGTGTCTAGTATATACAGGTTTCCAGCTTAGTGTGCATTATGCATAAAAACTGGGGTACACGTGACAAATTATAATACAATATTTATGATCATGGATCCTCAATGTGACGACGGTGTATAGCTCTGCAATCCCGGGAGTTCCACACTAGCAACCAGTGTCTTTTTTATTTTTGAATCATTTAATGTGTATTCAGCTATCTAGCTATGACACATGACCGGTGATATGTATACATGTGGGATGACTCATTTGACTTTAGAGACACTCATACTCTGGATTTCATTTGCAAATACCACTATGAGGTATGCTTGCTTACACAAACAGTCGACTCTCCTCCGTAAGTACCCACCAAAGGGAATTTCAAAACCTTTGGTTATCCAAGCATACCTTCGTCATCCATGCATACCAGCGCCGCGAGAAAAGTGGTTTTGTTTTGCCGGATTTAAACCAGCGATCTACTGTCTCAAGTGGGATATGTGTCCAAGCTATCCAAACTCTACTTGGCAGACCGGCCAAGACGATGTACCACCGCACCATCCAACCATGGCAGTTTTTATAGTGTCGCCTGCACTCTCGCAACCGAAGCCTTGGCACGCGCAAAGCTCAATTTGTAAAAACTCATTTCCAATATTCAAAATTCCAATCCTATCGAGACTGTATCCATCGTTCGCATCATCTTATGAACTTGTCCTGAATCCTCTCACGTCCATCCCGAAGAACAGTCTCCCAGATTTGTGCGCCACGCCTTGCTTCCTCCTTCGGGTGTAAATATCGGCGTGGGCGTGTATTTGGTGACCGGCTGAGGCCAGAGGAAGTCGACGAGAGGTGTGATCATTGGAATGAGAATGTACTAGGTCGTACTTGTAGACTTGATGAGGCTTAGGTAGGATTCGGTCTTTTTTGGAATGAAAATTTTGACGTGGTGGAGTTATTTGAATCATTGCCTCGTGGGCCAACTTCTTTGATATTGCGAAGTTTGACTGAACTTGGCTCTGGGAAAATATTTCACACCCAGGTTCGTAGAGGACACCGCGTGCAGGTGTTCAGTTTTGCCCTCCTAGCAACCAGTGTCAATAGTATGTTATGTCAGGAGATATTGGCAGGGGCTATGGAAGTGGTTACTGTGACAGATGTAGGAAGCACCTGTGGTGAGTGCGTGATCAGGACTGGGGTACTGAATGTATATATAAGGAAGCAATACTTCCGCGGACAGATTGTAACTTAACCATCTCACTACAGCCACATCAATTATATCCGCGCATCCATAATCACCTGCATCCATTTCAGGTATTCCTCTGTCCCCTCATAACCTCGTTATTATAACAATTAGGGGGTGCTACTCTATCCTCAGTCCCTGACACTGCTCTTTTAGTCGACAAATCGTCTCTACGACTCGTCGCTTACATTACTCGGTGAAAACTGACTGACGCATCTATCGTACAGACAGTGCACGGCTCTAATCTAATTGAGCCGTGTAATCTATCACCAGTGGTTCCACATTCTATTTACTAGGACATGATCTGTTTCTCTACCAAAAAAGCATATTTACATCAGAGCCTGCTTTTGATACAGGCTGCGCCTTACACCCATGTACTTATGCCTATCTATTTACTAATCGTCGATGTTCTTTTATGTGATTATAAGTGATCACCGATCCCATGGATATTAACCTCCCTGGGGTCAGAGCTACATGTATATATGACCTACAGCCTAGATAGATACCATTTCCTAGATAATTAGAAAATAGACTGTATTACGGCAAGCTTACTTTGTTCTTATTGATTTGGTGATAGCCCATCACAGCTTTGGCATAATGACATTTAGGATTCGAAACCATTCTGAAAAACTGACTGCTCTGGCTGCGCTCTTGGAGGACGCATATCACAAACATATAAGCAAGGGAACACAAGACCAGTCTCATACTTCTCTAAACGGTTGAATAGCGCTGAAGAAAATTAAACATTTCATAACAAGGAAATACACTCGATAGCCTTATGTCTACAAGAATGGAAGCCTGAACTCATGTCTGTAGCTAGACCCTTCACCATTCTTAGTGAACATAAAACTTGAGGGACTTCGTGTCTAAGCGTCACTTGCTTGAATAGCAAGTAAGGTATAATGATGTGTTACAACAATATTTCTTCAACCACAAATGGCGACCGAGCAATATATCAGATATCAGGATGCTGTATCAAAACGCGACCAAGCTAAACCAACTGGATTGGGGAGCAAAGACTGAAAACCTGTACGCGGTGTCCTCTACGAACCTGGGTGTGAAATATTTTCCCAGAGCCAAGTTCAGTCAAACTTCGCAATATCAAAGAAGTTGGCCCACGAGGCAATGATTCAAATAACTCCACCACGTCAAAATTTTCATTCCAAAAAAGACCGAATCCTACCTAAGCCTCATCAAGTCTACAAGTACGACCTAGTACATTCTCATTCCAATGATCACACCTCTCGTCGACTTCCTCTGGCCTCAGCCGGTCACCAAATACACGCCCACGCCGATATTTACACCCGAAGGAGGAAGCAAGGCGTGGCGCACAAATCTGGGAGACTGTTCTTCGGGATGGACGTGAGAGGATTCAGGACAAGTTCATAAGATGATGCGAACGATGGATACAGTCTCGATAGGATTGGAATTTTGAATATTGGAAATGAGTTTTTACAAATTGAGCTTTGTGTGTGCCACGTCTTCGGTTGCGAGAGTGCAGGCGACACTATAAAAACTGCCTTGGTTGGATGGTGCGGTGGTACATCGTCTTGGCCGGTCTGCCAAGTAGAGTTTGGATAGCTTGGACACATATCCCACTTGAGACAGTAGATCGCTGGTTTAAATCCGGCAAAACAAAACCACTTTTCTCGCGGCGCTGGTATGCATGGATGACGAAGGTATGCTTGGATAACCAAAGGTTTTGAAATTCCCTTTGGTGGGTACTTACGGAGGAGAGTCGACTGTTTGTGTAAGCAAGCATACCTCATAGTGGTATTTGCAAATGAAATCCAGAGTATGAGTGTCTCTAAAGTCAAATGAGTCATCCCACATGTATACATATCACCGGTCATGTGTCATAGCTAGATAGCTGAATACACATTAAATAATTTAAAAAAATCTAATTCAAAAAAATGGTTCTCCCACAAGTAGTGATCATTAAGCTCAACAAAATGTTTACAATACTCTTCATCAATTTCGATCATTCCACCCAGAGAGTTTACAGTAAATTAGCGGTAGCTAAACCAACCCCTATAACTTATCTTTGATAATAACATTCGCTCCCGCTATCGTTCTGCTTGATTTGATTACATGGGTATAATATTTTCTCTTAGTTTAATTAATATTACTTTATTGAATGAGCTAAATGACATGATAATATTATCTGCCTTGTTAATTTGTTCAACAAATTGAAGGTCTCCATTTAGATCCACTCTCAAGCTACAAAAATTTTGCGTGTCTTACGATTTTTAACAGGCCGTCCAATAGGGTCACTGTCTTGTTTCTTATGAAGATTTGTCGTTGGGTTGGTTCCTTCACTACCTTTGGAACCATCTCGGGTTCTTTCGCCTGCTGAAGAGGCAGCGAGTACCCCAGTAATTCGCTTAGATAATCGAGGTGCAGCCTCCCCATCCGGTTTGACTTCGTTCGCTGTGGGTGCCGGTGGTGTACTGGTAGCATCGACAGCCGTCCCGTTATTATCATCTTTTACTAGCTGTACTGGTACCGATTGTCCTTGGATTCCAGGTGTAGCATAATTGTCGCATCTAACCATACATACATTTTCCTTGTCATCTATTTTACCGGTACAACTCTGATTAACCGCAACTTTGGCGGAAAGTGACTAGAACATCTAGATTAGCCCAAACCTCTTATACACCCTCACCTTCTAAGCTCACAATTTTGAAGGCATCATTCAATGAATTATCAGCGTCAGCATTTGTGGTCACCTCCATCTCAGTCCATTCGCCCGAGCCAGTGCCTGTAGATTCAATCATGCACTTAAAAGGACCTGCTTCGTTTTTGGAAGTCAGAAGTGTCATGGTGACCATTCCGCCACTCTTGATAACCGGAAATTCATTTGATTCCGCAATGAGCCTAGATAATTGTAATAAATTCTCGTTAATCATAGCACGATCGGCCTGACCGATATCAACCGAAGAAGATCGCTTTTTAGTTAATTTTTTTTCTACATTTGCGAGGTGTCTCCCTTCATCAGCTGTGCGGGTATTAGTTGTAAGATTTGAGGTAGAATTGGTCCCGTATCTTGTACTTACGGTTTTCTCTCTCGGCCCTTGCTTCTACGTGCCTGATAACATTGGTTATAGGTTTGTAACCAGCAACTATTTGGGTAGCCACAAGCCCGAAGAGGATTGTTTGGAATTTCATGTTTTGCACTGTTTGATAAAACTTGACCTGCAAGAAGATAAAAACTTGACTATAAAAGATTTAAGTGGTTCGTAAAGACTTATGGAAAATGAATTGATGAATTGAGCAATGAATTAAGTAAATAAATAGCACGAGAAGATTGCTTCTAAGTGATGAGCAGGAATTGAGGGCCATTGGTGTCATATTATAGCCAAACCTTCAGCCATAGCAAGCTGTATAAAAATAGGGACCAACGCAAGGATGTCAGACAGTTGGTCATATCTCGTGTGAGAATAACGCTGGCGCCTAGCTTGTTTTGCAGACTATAGTAAGTATTCTCGATACCGGAGTTTGGCAAACTGTCTCATCGATTAACTGCTTGGATCCTGACATGACACACGGACTGTGTATAAGGATATATTGAGTGAAAAAATTTGAAGTTATGTGTCGTGCATATGTAGAAATGCTCATGTTAACAGGCCGAGACACCACAGAAAACTTTGATAAGATAATAGTTGTTGTTCTTACAGCCGGATGCATAGGCAATAGGAAGAGCTCATTGAATCCACAATTGTTACATTATATTTTGACCTTAAAGCTTTCCCAGTCCTTGATAGAGCCTAGTTTTTCAGGTTGGCTTCAAACAACCTATCTTCTGAATGGTGTGGAAAAACAAGTCATGGCTGTAGTGCAAATCACTAGGCTACTTGGCCTGAATGAAGATCATTTTTCGTAGATACAGTGTGAGCTAGTGAAACATTATCGTGACATGGAGATTATCTAGACGAATTGGCATGTATGAGGCGACTAAATAATAAACGTAATTACTGTCAACAGTGGCCACAAGAGAGTTTGGCGTTCGTATCCTCATGGAATTGCTTGATTCGAAGGGTTAGAATGGCCTTGATCGATAGGTTACAAGAGCCATCATGGAGACAGGAGATGCACTGCCAGACTCATTAGTCGGGCTGATGCGTTAGAGGCTATGTGGGGGTCCAGTATCGTACTGTGGCATGACTGTGGCTATCAATTTAGCGACCAGGTATGGTGAAGCACGAGAAACTGTATGAGCTGATAACAAGAGTAATTTACAAGTCAAAGTATTCAGACTAGAAAGGAGCATGCAAAGTGTCGAGGGGAGGTGCTTGTGAGTAATTCGTCTGAACTGCTGGACTTACCGCTACTCAGGATTCGTTTACCGACACACCTTAAAATGTCCGCGTTGGGACATCTCGAGCATTTCGCTTAATGAATCTCATCTGAAGTAAGTCCGACTAAGGTTTTCCATTCCCCACAGTTGTTCTACAAAGGGTCAGGTGTTGCAAGTTGCATCAATCTGGGCACTGTCTTGGCATAATTGTCTAGCTCATCTCGTCTGAAGTGATCTACAATTGTTTTACGACGATAATTCATTTTCACATCGGACGGATAGGAACTCTGCGTGAAGGGGCCTAATTTTAAGACGAGGAAGACTGTAGGGGAGCCTTGATGCAATTTTCCAGATCGAAAATAATTATAGTTATTAGTATGAAATGTCGTGCCCGACGGGTTATGAAAACTCAACACCTGTCAGCTGTGTCGCGTACAAACCTCCAGGGCTCACCGAAAAGTCTGCAGAGCCAAGATTGAATCAACATGCGTCCTAATCTCCACGGGAGTTATCAAACACTCTTGCGTTCTTTATCGTTTTCACCTTTCAGCACTATCCCCAAGCACCGTTACCATGAATCTAACCACGATCATAACAGATGTCAGGGTCGGAGTCCTTCTCATCACCTACCCTTTGGTCATGGAGGAGAGGCTATCCGATGATTTTCCAGTTCGTACTCAGTATGATGGTTAATAAATCGATTAATTCCTGATGTCTACGCTGGCTAGCGCAGACAGTCCTCGACTTCTGATCGCACTTGACAAGGTCATTCTTGTAGATTCTTGTAGATTCTTAGATATGCTTACTTGGTATATCTGTCTTGTGGAACATTTGAGACAAGATCAGAGATAATTTGGAATCATCTAGAAGAAGTTGGAAACTTTTAGCAATGAAGAATGAACCTTCACGAAAGTAATGTGAGCCTTCCAGGAATGAGACCAGAAGTTACCAGAAGGATCTAGACCAATAAGTCGTAATTATTCCTCGGAATTAGAGCCAGAGACGGTATGAAAAGTAATGTATAAATACCTGACCTACCCTCCATTCATCATAGATTGAAGGTTACGGCCTAGGACTTAAAACTAAAATAATTACATACCCTCCATTTAATCTCCTCTTCCTAAATATAAACTATCACATGGCTTGTCCCTCACTGTCCATGAAAGCAAAGCGTAGAGGTAAACAGTTATAACTTAAACTATGTAGCTAGTATCTTATTTATAGATTCTAGGAGTCCTCAATAGTCATTGAGTCAGGACTATAATACAAATCAAATCTATTCTATAAACTATTATTTTATTTTTTTGGGATAGGAGGTTCCGTAGAAAAGGTGGCTGAATTACACATGTAAATACTGATCTAAATGGCTATTCATCACAAGCAATACATCAACGATCTTTCAACAAACATGAGGCAAGGAGCACTGTACAAGGTGTGGCTTGAGCCAGAGAGGATCCCAATGTGCCAAATAATCTTATACTCAACTAGTCCGAGAAACAAAAGCAAAATGTCACTCTCGATAACTATGAGTGGACACTTACCCACACTGTTCCTCCGGAACCTTAGGATTAGATTTCTCCTGCTAAAAAGTCAAGTTTCGCATTGCCAAAGAGGTTTATCACCAGGCAATGATTCAAGGCTGCTTTCCATACGAAGTTTAACATCTAATAAGATCGATTCCCACCAGAGGCTCATCATACAAACTACTATGATCTGCTACATGCTGATTTAATTGAGAATTTTTCTCGTCGACAAAGTCTCTGTGTGATGATATGAGTCGACGAAGTAATCGAGGCTGAGGCATCGCGAGTTACTCAACCAGTTGCGATGACACAGTAAATATCAATGATGTATTGGTAAGACGAGCATGTATTTAGTTTCATAGATGTACCCACAATAAATGGATACAGGTTGCCGGTAAAGACAAATTCTTCACCTTCCAGCGGTTCCGTTGTAATCACTCAGTATGCTCTGCATATCTGGGATAGCCAAGAAGAATCACATCCGAATCGAAGTCGAAAGCAAATACAAGCATATCTCCATTTGACGACTTCTCAATCATGCAGCACTCATCATTATCTTCTGAGTCCTCAACCCCGATCTAACCACATATCAACTCGCCTCGCCGACCGATAAAGGCGTCACCCCAATTGCAAACAGGAGCTTGCCTCATTCATTACCGGCCATCACTCTCTACATATTTACGACGCTATTTATACCCGCAAGGAGGAAATCAAGTCGAAAAATACAAAGTTGGGGTCTTGGTTTATGAGGGACTGCTGCTCTATTGGGGTTATACTTCTTGAGGAAGAACAAGCGGCTGAGATGTGGAGCGAGAAGGGAAAGAGGTCTCTGAAGACCATGCTGGGACTGACATTTTCGAGGAGTTTTCAACTTTGGATTTTTTGTGGGCGCCAAGACCAAGATTTCGGCTAACTAGCCAGGAGGGCTTCTTTTGTCGATGAGCCAACGGTAGTCCTCAGACGCCTAGACATCACAAAGAACTTAAGATAAGCTACATTGCAGCCAATATTCTCTATCAAGACTTTTCTGACATTTCAGCACGACCTTCGGGAAAGAGTTGGAAGGAGTCAAGAAAGGCAGAGGGTGAATTTCCCGAGGTACACACAAGTTTGCAGCGCCCAGCTGGCCGGCCTCTTCGAACGCTTCGGAAGGGGCACTATGTCTTCGGATTTATTCCTAATGTCGGTATTAGAAGAGCCCCGCACCCAGTGGTTTTTGCGATTTTTCCCGGCTGCCATCGCTTCGTTGGATGGAGAGGGGAGATAATGAAGGGCAAAGGGTTCCTCTAAGTATATGATCAAATGAGAACTTGTAGGGGCGGTGCTGTTTGAGGGGAGCTGTGTGGGAGGCATAGGAGGGGATATACTACTAGCATAGGTATCCTTGGCCTGTAGGCAGATAAGACCTGCATGTCCTACATAGTGTTGGAAATATCGCGCAATGAAATGTGCGCAATATTCATGGAACGAATGTAGAAGTTGAATGAAAGAATGTCATATTCGGATTAAATTTAAAGGTGAGGAAGATGTGCGCTACAAGTACAAGTGTAAGCGACACAGAGCCTAAGCCACATCATAAACGAGTGTGGCGCCATCTAGGCATAGAACGCCCCCAATAACCTCCTTGTGCCCACGCCACACAGCCGCTCATATATCCAATAGGTAGCCTGAAGCGCTATCATATTATCTATTCCAACCTCTCAAATACACACGAGATCGTTTCGGGAACCTAGACGAAATGGAGGGCCCGTACGTCCACAACACCCTGTGTCTCCATTTTCAACACATAGTCATAGACTCAGACAGTACAATAAAATAAATTAATATTAATAATACGGCAGTTAGCAACTGCAGATTCCGAAACTTGGAGAGCAGCCACATTTTACCAAAGTAGAGAGGGGGACTATTCTCAACACCTGTCAGCGGTGTCCCCTACGAACCTCCAGCTCTCCCTGAAGAGTCTGCAGAGCCGAGATTGAGTAACAAAGTCCTCACTTCGAAGAGGATTCCCAATCGCTTTCGCCGTCTGTATTGTCTTCATCTCTCAACACATTCCCCTATCAGCATTATCATGAAGCTAACCACAATCAGATCAGATGGTAGGGTCGGAGCTCTACTCATCACCAAACCTTGATCATGGAGGAAAAGCCACCCGATGAGTTTCTGGAGCGTACCCAGCACCCGATACGGAGATGGTGGATTGGATCAAGTCGGCCTCGACTGTTACAAAGAAGGGAGATGTAGATGAATATGCGCACCTCAAGTGGTCCTGGTGTCTAGGCCTCGCCTGGCTGGGGCTGCAGGTTTTTTGAGACTTTTTCCCGCGCACGCAGTTTCCATTGCTACCA